TTTGAGACTAGATTTATGAAGATAGTCAATCAACTGCAAGTTAAAGTTTTCTATGAGAGGTCGGGTACGCACACTATGATTATAAAAGATCTCCTCATTGGCAGAAACTATTTGGAAGATATAGAACGACCTTGCGGAATCTCTACAGATACCACGATTAGCACTTTAAATTAACAACAACTATCTTCATCTTTTCCTCACTTATTTATTAACTACTCAAGGTTTTGTGGTTTTTCCCATATACAGTATAATTTTTTAAATATATTAAAATAATATAATTAAATTATAATTAAAAAGAAAGCAACTTGAAATTTTTAATTTTTGTCAATATCAATTATTAAAATTATTTGAATATATAAATTAATTAAATATAGATTAATAAAACTTTTAAAAATAATTTTTTTTAGCTTAATATTAAGCTATCTACTTTTTATATTTAATTAATAAATAATAATTTATTAAAAAAGAGAATTAATTATTATAAGATTTTTTAAATAGTTTATTAATAATTTATAAAATTTTTTATAATTAACAATATAAATAATTTTTTTATATTTTTAATAAATATATTTTTTGATTTTATAATTAATATTTTTTATAAAATTATTATATATTATTAATAATAAAACAATATTTTTTTTATAAAATATTAAATTTTAAAAATTATTTTAATATATTTAAAAAACTTTTTTATATATTTTTATTTTTTATATCTTCAAATATATATGTGTTTATTTTTATTTTAATTATTAATTAAATGATTAAATTATCAATAACAATAAAAATATGAATTTTGATTTTTTTTCAATTATTTTTGTTCTATACTGTATATAAATTTTATTTTATAAAAATATAAAATCTTTTATAAATAGTATTTAATTTTATTTACTATGTAGTGTATATAATATACATATTAATTGGCATATATATGTGTGCCATTAAAATATCCGAAAATATATATATAAATTTAGGGGATGCAGATCATAATAATTTTAGGGTCCTGTCCGCCTTCAAAAAGAATCACCCATATATTTTTTTGTACAAAAAAGGTATTACAAATATAGGATTCTGTTATGTACGGGACGACAGTGCGTGTGTAACCAAAAATTCATACATTCATCTTTCAGCCATATGTGAATTTTGGCTGAATGGCAAACCAAGAATGTTAATAAGGCTTTTTTTAAAACGTTTTCCCGATAAGTGTCACATTGCACTAGTGTAATAACTATAGTTGGGACTCGATTAAAATGTAATATACGTGATACCCATTGTTCTATTACACACGAAAAAATTTTATGCAACATAAAGGAATTAATCTAACTTGCAAGTAATCAATCTCACCTAAATTCGAAACAAAGATTTCTAACAGATACTGTATTGATTTTATAAAATTTTGTATTTAAAAAAAATACAGAGTTTAATTGGGGAAGTTTCGGGTTTTTTTATCGGATTTCGGGTTTTTGGGGGTTTCGATTTTTAAATTTTTGCGGGTTTTTTTTTTTCGATTCGGTTTTTTCCAGGTTTTTCAAATCTTTTTTGGTTTTTTTTTTCAGATTTCGTGTTTTTACTAGATTTTTAGAAAAGTTTGTGGACCAGATCCATCACGACTTCCTCTTAAAATCAATTGAAAATTATACGGAACATTACTTAATGGTAAGTTATGGTTTTCGATCAACCCATGATGAAATCCCTGTGGCATGATCGTGATTTATTATCATCGAGAAAAGCTCTTATTTTTTCTGGTAAATTTGGAACAATTGTTGTCCTTGGAGATAAATAATTAAAGTGACAGGTTCATTAGGAAGTAGAAAACGTTTATTTAGATCTTTCCAAAGTTATTTATCAATGATTTTCTTATAAGGCTTGACATGTTTCCATAAATCTGAGTGAGAAAGTTGAGAATAGCGAATATGTGGCAAACAATTTTGTAAAGTAGACTTTAAGGTTTGGAAACCCTCTTTGGTCCATTCTTCCAGTATTGGTGTCAAAGTTTCATGCTTTGTGTTTCCTCTCTTAAGAAGAGAAACAAAAATTGTTTCGTTAAGAAAAATGAAGTTTTCAGTATCAAATATAGGGTACAACTAAATTGGTATGAAATTTTTCTAAGCTCTCCAAAATTTTGAGTTTTAAAGATCGAATTATAAATTAATGAAAAGTGTGTACGTAACCAAGGGCTTTATTTTCAATAAGATTTTCAATTGTTAAGACAATTCTTTAAATTTTAGCTTATTAGCATTCATCATTAGATCAAATACAATGTGAAACAGAATTTTTTGAAATTATTTATTTATTTATTATTCAAAAACTATTGCATAGAAATTAATAAAAATATATCAAAATGAAACTAAAAATCTAGAAATTTTATTAATATAAAATTAATAATTAATTCTTTTACTTTACTTTTCAATTACCATTTCACATTTCTCTTTTATTAAATATATAAAATTATTTAAAATCTTATTTGGAATTTTATTTCATTATTTTATTATAAATTATTTTAATTCTGAAATATTTTTGAATAATCTCATTTCTATATTTTTTTTAACAATAGTTCAAAGATTTTCAATAGGATTAAAGTATAAACTATTAGAAATTAATCTATTATATTAGAAGAATTTTTATTAATAAAAATTTTAACAATTTTGCTTATATATTTTAAATTATTTTCAAGCAATTCAATAATTTCTAATTTATGTTTTTGCAAAATATTAATATAAAATTTTATATTCATAATTTTTTTAAGACAAAAAAAGAAAAGTTTTTTCTTTTATATAAAATTCTCACATATAAAAATTTTAATATAATCTTTAAATATTCTTCTAATTGATATTATATTTTATACTATTGAATAATTGTATTTTTAAATAGTTAAAATATTGTTTTATTAGAAAATAAGATCTTTTTCAATTATAATCAAAATACTTCTTTATTTAAATAATATAAGCTTCTTTATAATAGTAATAAATATAAGAATTTTCAAAAGAAAACATTTTTATAATTCAAACTTGCTAAATGTCTTGAAATTATCATATAAAATACTTTGATATTCATATTTAATAATTTAATTATTAAAATTCTTATGAAAAGTCTTAGATTATAATATAAATATTAATTAATTGCTTTTGATTTATGTATAATAATTTTTTTATATTGATTTTTATCTAATTTTCTTGAATTATTTTCTTTTCATAATAGATATAATTTGATATTATATATGTTTTTCAAAAATAATATAATAAAGATAAGTTTATAAAAAAAATATAACAAGTAAAGAATTTTAATTATATATTTATATTTGTCAGAATATATTGTTTATATATTTAAAATTTTATATAAATTGTTTTTGTTTTAAAAAACTCATATATATTTATATTATATAAATAAAATTTTAAAAGTTTTATTATATACTATATAGATTTATTATCTATAACTTTTAATTTAATAATTTTTTTATATATGTTGTTATGGGAAAAATGTAATGAATAAATGATAAGAAATTATAAGAGTAGGTATATCAAGTATAAGTGATATATCAGGTATAAAGGGTATATCACGTATAAAAGGTATATCTGATATAAATAATATATCAGAAATAATAGGTATAATTGATATAAAGTCAAAATGTATATAAGTGACTTGAGAATGTACAAAAAGTAAAAACAATTAGAATAGGTACTGCGCAATAGATAATTAATAAACTGTCTTTATTAATAAACTGTCTTGTGAAAATACCCCAGTGTGTGTAGCTAATAGAATTGCTACATGAGGAAGTAACAATTGAGGACGCAAGATCGACGGACTGATCTGCATCGGCATTACGAATTCTGGCCAAATTCACACGCCTCTTTTGAGCAAAAATGAGACCCTATTGTAATATGGTGTGAGCCAGATCGAAGCAACTGACTCGTCATGATTTTACCATAACAGTATTACTTATAATAAAGCTGCTCCTTAATTAAAAACTTTTTAATTAAGATATGTGATTGATGTTTTAGAAAAGAGAAAAATCTAATTAGCTTATCTAATCCAATACTTGTTACAAGATAAGATAATTGGGATTATAAAAAGAAAATAGTTAAGATTTATTAAGAGAAATAACAATAAAAAGAGAAGGAAAAATTAGTAAAGACTTGATTGAATAACAATTATATGCCTTAAGTAGAAAAGTTAAAATCTTACTTAATATAATGTGAGAATATTTTCAGAAAAGTAACAGACTTACCAAAAGAAACATTAACAATAGATACTTAAATCCAGTTATAAATATCAAATATAAAAAAAATATTGGTTATAATTCTATAAACAAGTTCTAATACCTATTATATGTTTAATATTAGTTACATAATATAATTATTAGCAATATAAAGATTTTATTTTGAATTAAAATATATATTTGTAAATAAATATCTTTGATATACAAGTAAAGGATTATTGTATAACTTTAAACTATATATAAAAATAGATATTTTATTCTTTTTAAACAAACAAATATAATCTGAACTTTTTTAATTTTTTAATTTTTATTTCTTTTTTAATTTCTTTAATAAAATTATTTTTAAATATTAATATTAATTTAATAATTTTTTTTAAGTAAATAAATAATATTTCTTTATAATATATATACAGTATATAATAGTGTATATATTTAAAAAGAAATAACATTTTTTAAGTACAAAAACATATAATAAGTTAAATATTAGTTTGTCTATTTATCTTATATTTAACTAGTAAAAAAAAAATTTTTAAACAATATTATTATTAAATATAGGCTAAATAACAACTATATTCATTTATTCAAAAAAAAGTTTATACCGTATATGACCAAAAATAAGAAACCCAAAAATGAATCCCTTCAGTAATTAAAATAGGGGGAGGTTCTTATTTTT